CTCTCTCTCTCTCTCTCTCTCTCTCTCTCTCTCTCTCTCTCTCTCTCTCTCCAAGGCGACAGTTGTGCTAACAAAAAGCTACTATAGTCGTTGTGTTCAGATTTCAGTTGAAACGTCACCGTTGGTGGTGGAAAAAACAATTAGTTGTAGTTAATCTGATGTCAGTTAATGGCAGCGATGGTGCTGGAGGAAAAAAAAGTCTTAGATACTGTTGTTGCTCCTACTGCTGTTGTGGTCGGTGTCCATGGCAACGATGATACTGGAGAAATATGTTTAGTTTTTGCCCATCATCAGATGTCTGTTAATGGCGATGATGGTGCTAGGAAGGATCTCGGAGGGTTGGAGATGCTGTTGTTATTGCTGCAGCTGTTGTTGTGCTCGGTCTCCATAGCAACGATGATGCTTTTGTCGTTGTTACTACCGCTGTATCAGATGTCAGTTGATGGCGGCAATGGTGCTGGAAAAGAGGTCAGAGATGCTGTTGTTGCTGCTGCTGTTGTGGTCGGTCTCCATGGTGGAGGACTGGATGTCGCTGAGCGACGGTGTGGAGCTGATGTCTGACAGCGCGGGCGAGCCGGCGTTCATGTCGGGAATGGAGTTCGGATCCTTGATGTCTTTGTCCGGGCCTTCTGGCGACCCTGCCCCCTGACCCTGGCCACCTTTGCCCCCTGACCCCGCGTCGGAGTCCTGCTGTTTCAGAAGGTTGCGTCTGTACTTGGCCCTGGCGTTCTGGAACCAAACCTGTGTGGGGAATAGATAGAAAAAGAGAAACACTGTTATAGAATGAGTACAGCACAGTTTGATAACGTTTTTTTTTTCGACTAAACAGACATTTTGGTTTAGCGATTTGAAACCAAACCTGTGGAACAGAGATAGAGAAAGAGCAACTGTTATTGAATGAGTACAGCACAGTTTGACAACGTTTTTTTAATGTGTTTTTTTGCGACTAAACAGACAGTTTGGTTTGGCGTTTTGGAACCAAACCTGTGCGGAGAAATAGAAAACAAATGCGCATTTTAATATTATACCAGTAGATTGGATGTAGCGCAATTCAATAATGATCTTCAAGCGACGAAACAAGAACGTCGCTCCAGCATTTTGAAAAAAAAACAAAAAAAAAACAAAACAAAAACTATAAAAAGCTTGATAAGAAATAGAAAAATGATAAAACGGTACTGTAATCGGATGACTAGATAACAGTTAAAAATATTTTTTTAATGCAGATAAATTATGCATACCTGGCTTTACTGTTTTAGAAACAAACTTGCAAAGAAAAGGAGAAAAAAACCCGAAAAGGATTATGTGAGAGAGTAATAGAGAGAAGGAGAGAA